ATTTGTGGGCACCAATAGCTGTAACATTTCAACGAGAAAGGGTATAGTCTCTTCGTTGATGCAACAATCTGGGCAGTTGCCATTTTTTCTATCGCATTTTCTATAGCCGCTGTTGTTGCTCTGCGCTTATTGCATTTGTCTCGATTTGTTTGGCTCGCACAAAAACAAATTGCCGGAAGTATGCAAATGTATGATGCAGCTTATCAGATATTGTTTGAGAGCCTGCCCGTTCTGTTTCGCTTTTTGAAGGGGCAAAGGGGTGGAGGGGCGTGGCCGATTCGGGGCGTGGCATTTGGCGCGGCGCTCATTTGCCTTGCAAAAGGCGCGCTTCCAGTGAGCAGTCAGCAAACAAGAGCCAAGCGCCAGCAAATAACTTTCAGAGACACTAGCGTCCCGAACACAAATAAAAAAGCGGAAAAGTATCGGGAATTGAACTGTCAGCTGCAGCTGCACGTTGGGAAATCGAAATTGAATTACATTTGCACTTTATGCTAAAGATCAATCAGATGACAGCAACGGCATAGGGATGGGATAAAAACTAATTAAAATGTTGCATACCAATTTGGGATGGAGATGGCTGCCAGGAAAAGGTTTCATTTAGTTTATGTACAGAAACATTATATCTTACCAATTCAATAATACATAATAATAAGAGTAAAGTAAAATTGTTAGTAACAATTATTTATTCCGATCAGAAAAGGCTAAAGTTAGAGTTATACAGTTAATCTGAAAATCAAATTTAATTTAAGATAAAAACTAATTAAAATGTTGCATAGCTATTTGGGAAGGAGATGGCTGGCAGGTGCCAGGAAAAGGTTTAATTTAGTTTATGAAGGTACAGAAATATTATACCCTACCAAGTCAATAATACATAATAATAAAAGTGAAGTTAAATTGCAACCAACAATTGCAACCTTTCCGATCAGAAAGGGATAAAGTTATACAGTAATTTGAAAATCAAATACACTGTTCCTCAGGCTGGATAAACATTTTAATAACTACCTACCGTCTATGATTAATCACTTAAGTTGCTAAGCTTCTTATTAAGCAAGTGAAAACGTTAGAAATTGATAATTGATATGCTTTGAAACACGGATCCTTTCTATTACAATGTTATTTTTGGAGTTAAGCTCCAAAACCAATGATAGTTACCAAACAAAAATCTTATTTGTGCTAATAGATTTTTATGGTAAAATGCTATATGGTTTCCGCGTAGGTGTTATCTGTTTGTTCTTGCTGGTGACCTTTTTTGGCAGATCCCTTGTCTTGGCTCAAATTAATACATTGGCGAATGGCACTCAATGCCATTTATCAACTCTGAACTTTCTGACATTTATGCTCCGTGACAACCAGGTCCCGGAGTCTAGAATTGGGCCCGACAAAGTTTCCTTCGACAGATGACACATTTTCCTGTACCTCTCCTACATGAATACTTGATATTTCCATATTTCTTGGGACCCACCGGGCTGGGCGGAAAAGCAAGAAAATCACCCCTATTGATAAATGATGCTGATGGATTTTTATTGCCCACTCTTCACGGAGGGACAAGGCAGGATAGCTGGACCTGGATGCTCCACCCAAGGGGCGGATTGGACCACATGTACGTATGACACGCTGTTGGACGGCTGCTTATCAACGGTTTAGCGCGGCTTGTGTGCCTGACAGGTGAATAAAAGCAGCTGTCAACACTTTTTTATCCCCGTTTCTGAGGTGGGAGTGTGTGCGTGAACTGGGGTCCATTAATATTGATTTAGAATATATTGATTTTGCGCTTTGTTTTTTTGCTGCCAAGGAGAATGCGAGGCGGGAGATTAATGCTTCTACGAGGATGCTAAGCTGGAAGCTTGGAAATCTCAAAGGCCCGAGTCCTTCAAGCCGCCAATTAGTGGCTGGCTATTTTTGGTAGAGCAAGGCACTGGCCAATGATTTGGCTTGCTTACCAGACATATTATGTATAAATTGCCAGGCCATCCATCAAAACGCTCAAGGCAAAGCCAAACGGGAGGATGGGAGGCTGTATGCAGTCAGAAGGCAATTTGCGAAACAACTTCAATGCCAATTGGCCAAATCCGAATGCATTTTATGGCCACAAATTCAATTCAATGGCTCAACAAGATGCTCAGCTTAAATCGGAGTAGAACGGTGGGCGTAGCTGCTGCACTGCCCGCCTCCGCCGGCTGAAAATTTTATGTTTAATTTATTGATACACTCAGCTTGCAATAAAAATTGATGGCAGAAACACATTTACACACCGGATGACGGCAGTGGGGGAAAAAGCGGGGCGTTGGCCATAATTTTTCATTTCATTGTTTTGTTTCGCAGCAGTCGTGGGAAAATACTCCGCGGATAAACCAGAAACAAAAAGCTGCCAAAGTGGCAGCAGCAAGCAGCAAGCAGCAAGAAAAAAGGAACGCAAAAGAAAATCGAGGGAAAAGTCTTTTCTATGCGGGGGAATTCATGAAATGCGCGACGGAACTGGAAGCGAATTTTTGTGATATTTATTTGCTGGGCCAGGAAAAAAGTGGAATGAAACCGAGTTGCGAGAACTGCAATAAAGCCAAGCAGACAAAACAGACGGAAATGAAAGCAAGAAATAATGTCCTCGTCTCCAGTTCCATTTTCAGCTGCAAGGAAGGCATAGAGGAAAGTGAAAAGTTTCCTCAAAGGAGCGACAAACTAAACCGAAAACGAAACCAAAGGCGCAGCACTGCTGATTTTATTTTTATTGCCACAATTTATGTATGCACGGATCCAGCTGCACATTATGCCAATATCAAGTGATAGTGCTTAAATTGCGGCAGTGGATGTATTTCGCTTTAAGACAAATCGAGGGAGCCGACAGCTGCAAATCATTTTTAAATGCTTACAAATTTCCAACACAATTTATAACTTAAATAAATTTACTGCCGGCGAGCGGGAATCACAGAAAAAGTTATGAAAAATGTGGGCCAGCAGAAAGCAAAGCACAGCAAATGAAAAATAAATCAATCTTACACTCAAAGTTGGGCAGTGAGTGGGATGGTTGGGCGAGCAGCAACTGGGATCCCATCCCATCCACAGAACGGGAAATTCAATAAAGTTAAAGAATGCTGAAAATATTTTAGCATACCTGCAGGCGACTGCAGATGCAGATGTGTATGTGTGCGGACGAGGAAATTCAAATATTAGTTAGTTGGCCAAGTTGTACATGGAATTTCGCAGAAACCTTAATGGCTTCACTAGCTTACCCCCATCCCATCCCGTTTATTTTGTACCATTTTTTCTACACCTGCACCGTTGCCTGATCATTTACAATTCAACATTTTGCAGCACCAGTGAATTATGCTTTTCAGCTGGCCTTTTCCACACTTTCCCACTGCTCGTTTTCCACGGCTTCCGGGCATTCGCGGTCTATGGCCCATTTGTGTGTTTTGAGGCCTTGGGCGACGGCAGTAAGTACGCTAATAGCTTCTTATGACAGCAATGAGGCGAAATCATGCGAAAATTCAATTGCAAGCTTTTCCGGCTCCGCGGAATAGCAAAAAAAATATTTCCAGCTTATAATCATAGCACGTTTTTATTAATTGATTACATGTGCATATGCGGAATAAAATGGAAATGATGAAATGTGTTTGCGTGGTACACAAATAACCCGTGCTAAACAATGAAAATATAGTCGAAATAAGTTTTTTGTCTGCTGCATTTCGAACTCAGACTAGAAAAAGCTACTAAGATTGCACAAAAACAAAGAGCACTCTAAATCAAAAGGTTTATTTATGAATATAAAGCCAATCTGCGGACGTTCTGGCGTTCGCTTCTCGCTTTCCGCTTTCGCACAGAAATAACAAAAAACCCTGTGGATGAAATAAATCCAATAAATTTTAAACGCAACCAATAAGGCCAATCAGCAGCTTTTGCTAATTGATTTCAAACGCTCTAACTGTTGCTGCACCGAATTGACTCAGTTAGATAATAAATTCAGCTTCAAATACTCTTTTGCCGTAAAAACCAATCAGGGGCGAATCCAATTTATATGAAAATTCCAAAATAAATCGTTTGTTGTTTTTTTCGCCACTCCCACGATTGTCTTTCATAAAAAAAATATGCTGCATGGTCAATCAATGATTGCCAACGCCAGGCAATCACAGTTCCTGTCACAACGCGTTCAAAACTGGGAACTGTAAGCGTTGATGAACTGGCGCTGCAACTTAATAGGAGCTCTTTTTATTTTTGAGCTAAAACCCAGATAAGTGAGTTGAATTGTTTTGACATTGAGTGGCAAAAAAGGGCCGACAATTGAAACAAATTAAAGGTTGATGGGGTGCGAGTGGACTGAATGCCCTGTAGTCGGCGTGTTAACAAAACCACTTTATGCAGTTCATTGAAATTACCCCCTTTATTCCATTTATTCCGTTTATTCCGTTTTTTCCATTTTTTACTGCTCCTTCAGAGCAATTAACACGCACACACACCCAGCCAGACCAACGAATATCATAATTGTTGGCGCTGGCAGCTGGAGAGCCAGAAAACAACGATGATAGCAACAGCGCCGGCGATTGTAAATTCGAAAAATTGCACGAGGTGCGCCCGCTGGAAGGTGAGGAGCAGGGAACATCTGGGGAGGCGGGGGAACATCTGTTTCAGCCATCCATCCACTCACTCATTTTTAATGCATGCAACTGCAATCGAGCCGCCTCCGGCTGAAAAGCAAATGTCAAGCAGCCACTCGTGGCTGCACTGAGCAACAAAGTATCTGGATACTTTTATGGAAGTTTTCAATTCGCCACCAGCTTTGTGCTGTGATGTATCGCACAGAAAGCCAAGCTACATTATACTATGAAAGCGCGAGCGTGTTTTCCAGTGTACGCCTCGGCCAACAGCCTTGTTTTTGACATTGCGCAGGAAGCCAAGGAAATTGTCAAGGATATTGGGCCATTGAAACATAATTGCTTATGCCCTGATTAGTTTGGACGCCGCAATACATCGCGCGGATCTGGGGACAGAATTTGAGGCACACTTACCGATTGTGAGGCAGAGGATGCCACCGAGGAGCAGCTGGCTGAGCAGCTGGGTGAGCTGAGCGCCCTGCAGGGGCCGCGTTCTCGTTTCGAGTGATTGCATTTCGGAGCGACTGCGACTTGTCCAGGAGCGCATCCCCTCCCGCGAGGGAGCGAGCGCGATAATGTTCAGTTACGCGGAAATAGTGCGCAGCCTGGTACTTTCACTGGCTTTCACTGGCACTTTCCAGCGGCGGATCCGCGGGGGACTGTGGTCGGTGGAGCTGCCGCTCCAGCTGGGACTAGCGAGCGCATTTAACACCTCCCGGAAAAATGCAAAACTGCCAACACTGCGTATACGCAACGAGTGCAAACGTGCGGATTTTTCCTTGGGTAGTGCTAGCCAGCGACTTTCTGCAAATGTTCGCAATTTTACTTTCGAACGACGCCGCTGGCAGTTAGTCAAATATTAGTTTTCCGCTTTTATTGTTCGCCGCGCGGTGTGAACTGTGTTTTTATGGCCAATTTTATTGCCCCACAATCGCGCTGCTGTTCATAATTTGCTTAATATTTCTTTGCGTCTCGCTACTTCGGTGCTTCAACAGTGATTTCCTCTACTCGGACCATCAGTAACCATTGGCTGCGGGCCATGTTCACTATTTTGCCGTTCATAAGGGAACAGCAACATCTGTCCTGGCTCTGGGCTAAATCCCACTGCCCTTTTGATTCAGATTGGATTTTGGTCGTTTTCGGATTTTGTTTGTTTAGCGCATTTATCTGAAATGAAACAAAAGGCAATCGGGGTTTTTAATGTTCCGTTAATAGAGAATCGATTTATTTTAGACTGCTAAATGCCAAGTGATTTACTGTAGGTCCTTTGTGCAGGATGTGTGTTTGCAGGGCCAGAGGGCCCACACACACAGGCGCGGCCGTGTGTGTGTGTGTGTGTGTGTGTGTGGCGAGTATTGTTATTGTGGATAATTGCTTTTGGCCGGCTCGGTTCGGAACTCGTGTTTAGTTTAGCGCTCAATTAATTATCTCAAGTTTCGCCATTTGCCGGCTTAGTTTGCCGGGAATTGGCCTCGGGCCACATGGCCACGCAATTTGTATTCAATGCGCCCAATTGCTCCTCTCGAGCATCTCGAACAGTTGTCAATTAATTTAGTGCTCCCCCTGTTACAAAGCTCCTCAACTAGCAGGGAATTCATTTAAATTAGCTGGCAGTCACCATTGGAACAGGAAAACTGTACTACTGGATTGCATGTTTTATCTTTCGATGATTCCCAGATGAGATTAGTGGCTTTCAGGACTTTTCTTGGACTCCCTTTATAGTAAGTAAAACTCATTTCAAGTCCATTGTGCCTCCCTCAGGTCGCCTTAAGCACTCCATTCAGCTGAAAACTATCGCCTATACTTCACTGGGATTTACTTGGGTAATTTTTCATAGAATTTTCCGTGTCGGCAACAGCTGGCGCCGCCAAAGTGGCACACGACTGACGCTCTTTGGGGCGCTCGCAAAATGCAAAAGGCAAGAGGCAAAAAAAGACAAACACAAATTTATCTTCATAATTTTCCACACGTTACTGGCAACTCATCTGCATAAGCACGCACACTCACTCGCAGTGGCACATGTGATGTATGCAACGCTGCAAAATGTCACCGAAAGTGAAAGGCGGAGGCAGTAATGCTGAAAGTACACTCCGAGCCCCATTTTGCCCCCCGCCGAATGTAGGCCACTGGTAGCAGAATGTTGACTTTAACGTTGTCGGCGCAAGTGAAATTTATGCAACTGACGGCCACTCAGGGGTGTGGGAAAACTGGCGGAAAATAGGGGCTTTTCATCTCGGCTGCCGACTTTAAAGGCTTTCCAGGGTCATGTTATTTTTTCGGGCAGGCCCTCGGCTGCAAGATTTATGCGGGCGGCCCTCGCTGCGGGCGCCGTAATTAAAAAGTTAGTCTAAACAATTCTCTAATTAAATATTATTCGTCTGAATCGAGAATGGCTTGTGCCGAAAGGCAACTCTTTTGCTTCAGCCGGCGTGTGAATATTAATGACTTGACGTTTTGGTTAAACTTTGCGAGTGGGAAAACTTGCCCGCAAATGTTGCTCAATTTCGGTCGAGGGCTTCCCTCTCCGCTGGTGTTGGGAAAACGAAACGCAATTAAAACGCCGCCCCCTGCGGAGGAGTGAACCCTTTAATGGCTTAATGACGAAACCACGAAGTACATAGTTGAGAGGCCAAATTGAGCAGCACTTACTTATTCCGCGCGAATGGAGTCCAATACTCCACATCTGCCCTCGAGTTAAAGTGTAGGAGGCACGCCCTGTGTGGTAATTGAAATTAAATGGCATTTGAAAGTTTATTTGGCTGGCAGTTTGTCATCTCATTAGCCCATTGATCGATTCAAGTTTCCAGTTATTGCAATTGGCGCCAACCAATTTAAGTTGAAGCGGCTTTCAAAGTCTCCTCAGCGACTAACTAGGTATAAAAAGCAAATTCGCCACAGCCAACTGCAGACTACTACATCATTCTTTGCGCTACTCCATCCATTTCAGAGTCCCGGGGGAAATTTATCTAAATGTTGTTTCAAAACTTCAGCTTCTGCTCTCTCTTCCAGCCCTTCTCTCCAGCCGGCACTTTTTTCGCACTCTCTCAGATTCAGTTTTACCGAGCAACCCCGAGCTCTACCCCCACAAACTTGTCACAACTAAAGACATTACACAACAGATTACGTATACGCCGGGTGGGCGCTGAAACAAGAGGTGATTGGGCCCAGTTGCCATTAAAGCGTGCCTCCTCCTGGTTGCTGGCAGACTTAGAGCAGCAAATTTTTATGTTATTGCCTAGCGTGTGTGCGTAGCTAAGAATGGGCTTGTGGGGCATAACCTCGCCCCCACTGCCGATTTAATGTCTGTGGCCCCCAGCAGCCTGCTTATCCCTTTCATTTGCCGAGATGTTTATCCCTACATCTATAAAAACACACTCTGCGCACAGCCCCACAGCCCCACACTCCTGTGCGTCACAGCACAGACCACTGATGTAGTCTAGTCAAAATAGTTGCCCCAACTCCACATACGAGTCCTGTCGTCCTGTCAACGCGTCTGAGTTGAGCTCCACTTCTCCGCTCTGACGTTGCTTTTAAAAGCTTAGGCTGGCAAACACTTTCCCACATTCTTAATGAGTGCTCGCTCGGTTGCTTGACGCTCCTCTTCGAAAACTACAAATTTTGTTGGCCATTGTCAGAGGAAGACGTGGTTAGTCTGCAGCCAGGAGCCCAAGATGATGGCCTTTAATGTTGCCTCTACTCATTGTTCAAGTGGTAACTGGTGCAGGATATTTATACTTCACTAGGAATCAATGAAAGAGTAATGCACAGCTGCCATTTGTAAATAGAGTGATTTCCTTGTTGGGCAAATTAGCTATTAGATGGTCTTAAAATGGTTTTTTGTTATAACAAAGCATTGAGCTGTTTACTTTTATTTGTACGCAGTTTTCTTTCGCAGTTAGACTCGATTGTTATTCCATGTTTGATAAATATCTTAACTTTTGTTGTGCCTAGTACGGTTCATAAAACTTACTCATTTCAGCTTCATTTGTAATAAATCTTCGATGGATATCTTTCTTTTCGTGCTGCCATAACTTAAGTATTGATTAAAGGCAGAGAAGTATTCCAACAAGGCGCAGAACCTAGGAGTTTCTCCTATGCGCTGTGGCAGAGCTAAAGGGACTTTTTATGTGCTTTTTACACACACAACCAGCATTTTCGACCACTGAAAGTCATTTTTGCTTTGTTTTGCAGCCAAAATAGTATCTGAAGGGTCACTCAAGCACATACAACCGGCGCGGCGGGAAACGGAAACTATTACGACGGGCAGCGAAAAGTCTATAAAAGCAAATGCTGCCTTCTCCAACGCCTTGAGATCCCTTTCCCAAAAGAAAAGCTAGTTCGGAGCACGGAAGGCAGAAAATAAAGTCGACTATAAAAATCACAGGTTTATATACATTTTTTGAGGGCGGCCAGTTGCCGGCATCGTTATTTTCGCTGCTGCAGTGGTTGTTCTACATCAGAGCTCAAAGTTGTTTTTGGAAGCACTTTATTCCGCTTTAAACAGCAATTGACTGGATGCCTTTCCGAAAAACTTCCTGTTTCGGGGCAACAACGATTACGTCAGCCAAGAGTTTGGCATCTTGTCACTGGAAAGTTAATCAGGAAAAGTGGCAAAGCCAGTTTCTGGCTTAATCTTCAATTGAAACTTTGGACACTCCCCAAATAAGCTAAACGATCGCAGGGAATAAACAAAATTATAACTATGGGAAAGCGAAAAGTTCGAGAATGCTCCACCATTTTTGCCAAGCAGTTCCAGAGGTCCTGGCTCGTGGCAGCTTAGATGGGTACCCATAAATCAGTTTTCACACACACCACCAGGACTGCCATAAACTTTGATCTGTTAATAAATCGACTGCACTTAATCATCGCAGGTGGCAAGAAAGTTGCGAGATGTAAACTTCTGCGTAAGCTGAAGAAGTATCTGCCTCATTTATTCATATGCCAATCTGAGGCAAACTTAAGCAAGCAGTCGGATCCGGGAGTTACTACCGCCAACGTGGTAAAAATTAAAGTGATCGCACATACGCCGCGTGGGCCGACTGGCCATCGAATTATAGAGTCTCCCAGCTTTTGGCCACATCGTGGACACTAGGGCCCAAATGCAATTAACGCACACCATCAAAAGTCACTTAGCGATGTGTGGGTGATAGCTAATCTCCTTAGCGCCCAAATTCAAGCCCCTGCTCGCCGCCCCAAATGGTAAAACAGGTTGCATTCCGGGCACACTGCGTAAACTAATCAATGCAAGTGCATTTGTTCTTGGCGGCTGCATTAAACTAAATGCGTTTTTAGCCGGCAGAATTTACAGCCGCCTGCACATTACTTTGCTCATTTGTGTGCTTAGCCTGCTCAGCGCACTGGCGTTCTGGCCAGGTTTGCCCAGATGCAACTAAGCTTTATTTGCCTGTTTACCCTGGCAGCGCAAATAGGGATCCAGTCAACTGCAGCACAATGGCAGTGGCAATTCCAATAGCTCGTTAAGCCAATACCGACGTCAATGTGTGCTGATGCAGCAAATTTTCGCATTAATAAATCTTTTGTTTGCTAATAAATTCCTAAACAGCAGACCGTCTCAGTTCGCAGTCTGTTTACTTATACGTTTGCCTTGTGTCCTTGGAACTTTGCCTCCGCCACCTGGAATGTGTGCCCAACATTGCGAGTAAGATCCAATATCATGTCAAACTTAAGTTGAAGGCTTTAACGCACCTATAATCTGTCAATTCCCAAGATATTGCAATTACCAGAGTTGGGTTACTCCACCCTCCGTGATTACGAGAAAACTACGACTATCTATCCGGAGGGCCCCTGGGGTCCCTAATTGCCACATGTGGGAGCAACAGGATATTTACATGCAAATCAACCCAGAAACGCACTTCAAGGCAATATCCACATGGGCAGCAAAAATTCAATCATGTAAATGGTTCGTCAACCAAATTGGGGCGGCAAGGTAAATCACAACACACGCAGGCACTTTCGGGGAGGGAATTGCGGTCCGTCTAAATCACTACGTTTGTCCTTGACCTCCGGTGGAGGACATGATTCTCCGAAGGAATCTGAGGGCTGGATTTGTATTAAAGGTGAGAGCGGTGAAACATTTATTATGCGCTACCTTTCCCAATGACGTATGTCTGTATACTAGATACGCGGCTAATCTAAGAATAAA